AATCATAATTCTGATGGTTGGCATTTCCTCCCATTCTCTTCCTATCAGAATCCTACCCAGACAAATACCACCTCTGATGAAAGCTCCCCTCGCCACCCCAGCCTGGACTTTTTTTCTTCCTTCTCTGAACTTAACTTTACTGCCTTGTAATGATAATTTTGCATTCACATCTTATCTCTCTTAAGTAGATTTAAAAAATGTTACTATTGGCATTTTCAGATACACACAGAAGTTGAAAGGATATTATTATTATGACCTTCCATTTACCTGTCACCTAGTTTTAACAGTATTGAACATTTTACCAATCTTCCTTTGATTTTTAAGTTCCTTGATGGATAGAAGTATGACTCATAAATGTTTAAGAGGGCTTCAATCATAACTGAGGGGGCACGGTTAGTTTTGACACCTCATAAATGGTCAAGATCTGAAGTCAAACTACTCTAGTTAATGTTTATTCCCAATTTTCTCTTGAATCTGTGTATTTCCTACTAAATAGAATCACACACCTCCATTTTGTCTTAAAAACTTTGTTTTAGGCTTTCTATTAGTTGTATGTAGGATCTAAGTAAGTTTTTAAAAAAATTTATTTTGCTGTTATTGAGAATATACACAGCAAAACATACACAAATTCAACAGTTTCTACATGTACAATTTAGTGACAATGATTATGTTCTTTGGGTTGTGCAACTATTCTCACCCTCCTTTTCTGAGTTCTTCCTCCCTAATTAATATAAATTCACTGCCCCCTAAGGTTCCTATTTAATTTTTGAGTTGCTGTTGTCAATTTGATCATATAGATAGTTCTTAAAAGAGCATAATGCTCAAGGTAGACATTTTTTACTGGTTAAGCTAAACGGATCTAAGTAAATTTTGATATTTGTCTCATCAGCTGATGTCAGATTATGAAGGGGAGAATCCAAGTTTGATCACTTGTGTCATAAGATTGCAAAGAAAAGAAAGAGGGGGACCTCAGGATGAACACCTTATTCAGAATGAACATTATGGAGCTAGTCTAGAAGATGTCTATTCTCTAGTGCTTATGCTGTCCAGTTGTTGTTGTTAGGTGCCGCTGACTTGCTTCTGACTCATAGCGACCCTTTGTACAACAGAACGAAACACTGCCTGGTCCTGCACCACACCTGGTCCCGGACCACACCCAGTCCTGCACCGTTGTTATGTTTGAGCCCGTTGTTGCAGCCACTGTGTCAATCCATCTCGTTGAGGGTCTTCCTCTTTTTCACTGACCCTCTACTTTACCAAGCATGATGTCCTTCTCCAGGGACTGATCCCTCCTGACAACATGCCAAAGTATGTGAG